CGTGAAGCCGATTCATCCAACAAGAGCTAATCGGATCAAGTACAAGTAAGTACAGTAGATTACATATCTGAGGTTGTTTATTTAGTTCATTGGGTTGACTTGAGGCGAAAAATCATGTTTACTAGAATTGCATTCCGTTCATATCAGTATAGTGGGATAAAATAGAGGTGGAAATGGGCGAAATCTAGCGTTTGTTGATATCGGAGGAATTTCCTACGATATTAAACGTTGCGGAAAAGAACTTCTTGTTTGTGCATGTTGCACTATAAAAGAAGATTCATGAAGAGCCGGATTTTTTTAAATTATATCTGTTCACAAAACGGCAAATTTTGTTTTGCTTCCATGAAATTGAGGTAAGTGTACGTATGAGATACAGCATTAATGTCGAGAAAAGAAAGATGAATTCAGTTTATAAAATTTTTCCTTACAAATCTATTACGTTTTGTGCCCTAAAGACAAGTAATTAACTTACAAGAGACCAAAATGTGTTTTAGTACGCCGAAATTACTGGTCCTATTTGACTGTACATAAGGTCATCGGGATGTCATTAATTTTCTTAGTAACAATTTTAAGTAAATCCGTCCAAAGGTTGTGAAAATATAGAAGAAAATCAATGAATATAAAAACTTGGAACAGAACAGACAAAGGATTATCATGTTAAAAAATATCGAAGGATATTTTGGGTCACTCTGTTGTGCATTTGAAATCAAAGAACGGTGCCCTGAAGAAAAGAACGTATTGAAAACTTCTCTAGGTACGTTCTTTCATTTTCAGCAGATTTTTTTCCTCTAAGTTTTAGGGAAGTCAAAAAACCGGTCAAAATATCCCATTTTGATCTTCAAAAAGGTATCGTACACAGATATTCGACTTCGAAATATCTAACTAAAGCGCTTTTTGAGCAGGTAACTTGTTATAGAAAGTTTTTTAATTAATCTTAGACGTATTCATCCTCGGCTTTTGTTGTGGAAATTCATTGTTCTCGGCAATGAGTTGACATGTTTGGGCGATTCTAAAGTCATGACCCACACAGGCACTATCTAAGGAGGAACGTTTAAGAACTCATTATTTAGGTAAATGTTTTAAGATATTTCTTACTTCTAAGGTTTCGGTAAACAGGTTGAACAAAATCGCTATTTATGGACAAACAAAGCAAAACAGTGGAATTCGTAAAGTGTTCAGCAGAATTTCGAAAACAGTTTGCTGCTCGTTGCACTCGAACTCTCGAAATAATTTTTTTTAATGTGACAAACGAAAATTTCTTTCAATATACGCAAGATGGTATGAATTTGATTACAAGTACAACCGTAATCTAACTTTTTAGTAAACAGCCAGCTTATCCGTGTGTGGCCTTCAATCTATTTTTATTCCGCTTAACAGCCGGGATATGATTACCATAGAAAATATTTTTTGCAATTGTCAATAGAAATTGATACAAAGCACGCAAGAATCTTTTCGGCATTAAAAACGGAAATGTTTACGAAGTATCCACATTGAAAAAAAACTGTAGTTAAGGTGACCACATTTAATGCAAGTTTCAATGGTAATAGAAACAATTTAATTTATAAAAATTTTGTATTTGTACTTATTTTAGATTAACTTGCCATTCTTTTCCATTCCCATGCCTTAAACATATTTATATTTAACATTGGACCAGTGAGTTGCCATATCGCCATTTCCTTGATTTCGAGTTTTTTTTAACTTAAATATTCCTATGCTTGTAAATAGTAATTAGTCCAATAATTTCTGTCTTTTTTTACTTATGGTTCTTACTTTACTGCTATAATAGTTTGGGGGCACGTCGCGTGCGCTGACTTCGCGCAAAATTACAATTTGTAGTGAAGCCACTATATTTCATGAGATAGTGAATCTTCTGCAATTCATAAACGTTAGTGGCCGCCCATTTAGCTGCCAGCACGATTTGCGAACTTGTACAAGAGTGGATGTGGCAAGTGGAGACATCAGTATTGACCCTCTCCTCCATCTCACTACGCTTGACATGCTGTTTTGACACTCATCACGTGTCTGTTTGCAGATATTTTCAAATTTCATGCCCACGACTGTTCAATTGAACTAAGACGGCTGGTGGTCAAATGAGAGGTCATCAACTTCCACCGCTAATTTTTCCGGCAGATAAACCCGTCAAAAAAGTACTCAGGCTGACAGGATGAAGCACCGACAATAACCCTCGCTACACGTACGCCTATGTGAGCATGGGCAGAAGGGCGTTGCGGATGTACTATTACGAGGTGAAAAATGAGGTGCTGATGACGTAAAAGTCTGTCTTATCGTCTAGTTTTCAGACGCGCACGCATTTCCTGACTTCTTAAAGTACGCACAAAAGAATGACGTCAGGACGCCATGGGGAGTTTGGAATTGTTACAAAAGCACGATAATCGACTGCACCCTATGGATAACCCAAAAACTGTGTTCAGAAGAGCCATTGCAGATGTGCCGGTAGATTTCCGCCGTTTCCAAAGCGGAGAGTTTTACTCGATTGAGACTACAGCTTACAGCTTTCAGCTTCTGGTCGATGCACTCATGACAGCACAGAAGGTGATATAGTGACTCCGAACCGAAACCTGCTTAACCATTTTTGACAAATACACCTATGAGAATATATAAATGGCGGTATGGCATCCTCAAACAACCGCTTCGCAGTACGGAATGGCCATCGGAAAGATTTTACTCTTCTATCATGGGATACGATGCGTGACCTCTTTGGCCACCGTTTAACAGCCAGAATTATCTGGCCAAAAGAATGCTTTTCATGTTTTGACCTCAGGCATGCACTACAATTAGTGCTGCGAGCAAAGCAATCGCCTAGATATTAT